GTACTTCCCTTCGATGCGCAGCACGAGGTCAGGGTGGTTTAGAATATTGGGATTCTCACACAAGTCTTTGTAGGTCACAATGGCTGACATGAACTTCTCATCTGGGATGTCTCTATCTGTGGCCGTCAGGCCTCCACACAGGGACATGGCGGGGTCTACAACCTGCTCTGTGGCTTCGTCTACAATGAAGATTGGGTTTGTCTCTGTACCACTGTCAAACCCACCCGAGGCCCCCCCAAGGAATGAGGGCTCTGCGGAAGCGAGCTTTGTTCAGAAAAATTATCCTCCTCCTTCAAACTGTCTTTGGCTGTTTTGATAGCTTGGTGGGAGGTGGTCTTGGGGAAGTACAGTGCAGCCACCTCAGGATCTATCTCCCCACTTTCAAGGTCATCGAGGTACAGTCCACCCTCAATATCTTCCTTTCTGGAGGAGGGCCTCCGCATGAACTGGAACACCCCTCCCAACATGGAAGGCTTCCCCTCGTCCCCTGGTTTGGGGGAAGCCTGAGCAGTGGATTCAAGTTGTGCAGAATCATCAACATTAACCGTTAAAGAAGACTTTTGGTCATACTGCTGTTCTTGGGCAGATTGTATAGGCATGAAATGCAAATCAGTTGAAGCAACGTTATGTGGGCCTTGTGGTAGCTCCCCCCAGTTCCACGTCAGCATCTCTCCCTGTGTCTGTGATCCCCTTCTCTGCAGCTCCACTTCAGTGTCGCTTTTCGGCGTGGGCGGGCGGCTGCCGACAGGACTGGATGGCTGCACAGCAGGGGTCACGTCTCCATCAGAGTACGGGTAGATGTCAGGCCGGCTCTGCTCCTCCTGTACTAGAGCCTGTCCTGACAGAACATGGCCATTTTGGGCGAAGCCATCTTCTTCTTCCTCACCAAGGTCTATCGTGAAAATGCCTTCTTCCTTCTGTTCTGACCGTGGGGACTCCCTCCGCAGTTCATTCCTACTCCTCCTCTTCATCTTCCTTTTCCTGGAGCTGTTATCTGCCATCCCTTTTCTCTCATCGTCACCCAGATCACTCTCATCTCCATCCGAGACTTGCAGCTGCTGAAACTGCGCCTCCACCCCAGCCTTCCCTAATTTCTCCATCAAATTCAAGTCTACAGCATCCGTCTGCACAAGAACGGAATGCTGCTTCTTGTCTACAGTGTCAGATGGACTCGGAACGACCTTGGTCGTCATTGAGCAATCATCTGAAGCACCCTCTGGCTCCTTGAGCTGGTCAGCGATGGATCGGATCTCATCGGATGGCGTGGTGAACTCATCCATACTGCTCCCACTCTTCCTTTTGTCCTCTTCTGGTGTGAGGACCTGGATGGTTGTCACCTTCTCTGCAGGACTGCTACCCTCCGACTTACTACCGCCCTCCGACTTGCCAGAGGTAGACAGTTTCAGGTTACATGCTGTTATATCTGTCTGGACTGCGATGTGCTTGAATATCTCCTCCACAAAGCTCTGGTCCTCCTTCATTCTCCTGACCCCTTCCTCCATCAGCTCTTCTGCACCTGTGGGGGACAAACACCAAACAGGGATGTCACACAAACATGGATGAGAATGGGTCACTTGTCATCATTTTGAACTCTGTTCAACACAGAGGAAACAACAGCACGAAGCCTATATTGTTATGGAACAAAGACATATCACTGGAGAAAAATGTGGCTGGCATTTTTTTACATCTTCACAAAAACATGTTTTCTATATTTACTTAGCTTTATTTTGCAATATTTTGCTGGTACACTCTTCAGAGGTTCAAGTTTGGCCAGAGTAAATGTATTAGAAAGCTGACGTATTACATTCGTGGAAAGAAATGCAGTCAAAACTGACATCATGTAAAGCAATTCTCCTTGTTCAATGGGAACATTCCCACGATACCAGTGCTAGATTAACCGAGCACACAAAATTGCTGCCAAAATTAGGTTTGTACATGTACTCTAGCTTGTTGGTGTCTAAATTAGTTTAAAACATTCCCATGGAGGCAGTCTCTACCCTCTAATCAATGCATAACTACTTTACTACTTGACTTGCATCCACCTGCTGATACTAATGTAGAAGGATGGAGCCAATCATTGCAAATCTTTAGTGTGGTAAGAAATTCATCCGATATATTGAAAAAGTCTTGTACTGTAGTATTGATCAAATTCTAGTGCTGTAAAGTCTGGAGTAATTGTAAATGGTACCCAGTGTTGGTTGACTGGACTGACATAAGCTGTAAATCCTGAAATGATCATGGTGGTTTTGTTGTGACACCATGAATATGTGTTTCCAATGTACTACTACTGAACTACAAAACTGTTTCAATAGCAAACTTAAACACCTTCCTACCTACCCATGAGAATAAACAAATCAACTCATGCTGT